TTGAAGGAGTTGTTTTCATGTCTGACCATGGGAATGCTACTGCCAAATTAACATGACTGAGGGAAGACAGGGCTTAAGGCCTTGTCAGGAAATGCATCTGTGGACAGTGAGGGAGGAAGTTCAACTTGGTTGTCTAACATCACTTGGGTTTTATGATCATTTTCTATTTTTAAAATTCTTTTATTTTCTTCCCAATTCAATTAACACGTTTTTTTTAGTGCCGACACTCTGTCCAGTACTGTCCTAGGAATTCTAGGAGATATAAAAGAAGCCTCCCTGCAACAATTTTTAAAGTTCCTGCCAAGTGTGGAGATCACTGTGGAATGTGGTGGCTAGAAAACTGTCTTGGGAACAAAGTCTTGAGTGAGAAGGGGAAGGTTCAGACCAAAAGAAAATGGCTTGATGGGGGTAGGTGGCTCCCAGAAGCTGAGAGAGAAAGGTCAGTTTAGAGAGAGCCGCAAGGGTAAAGCAGACAAGCTTAATCTTGGGAGTCCACTAGGGGGTGAGTGGTAAACTCAAGAAAGAGGGAGCCAAAGAGAGTCTGGAAAAGAGAATTGAGGAACCAGATGCAAGGCGACCACCCTGGCTGCAAATAGGATGCAAAATGATAAGGGTTTGGATTAGAATGCATCTGGGGAACAGATGAAAGAGTTCCTGAGACATTTGAAAGTAGGCCATGTCAAATCAGGATGATAACTACAATTACAAAGGACAAAGGCAATCATGCATAATGCCGGTATCTCTCGTCTAGACCAGAGATGTGACTCATTTTCAGGTCTTTTTTTCTTTCCTTACATACAAATTGACCCCTCATAGAGTCCAGCGGAAGTATCAGTTATCAAAAGAATTGACCATTCCCTCCCACCCCCCTTATAAATACAGGTAATTTTGCAGCTGGCTACATGATCCAAGCTGAATCTTGCTGGGCCTTTTCTTCAATAGTTCTCAGGTACCCATGACCAGTGCCCCAATTCATGCTTTGCTCTGTGTACAGTATGTTTATTACACACACTAGAAGTCCTTCAGGCATGAGGACTGTGTCTCATGCCTAGTAAGCACTCAATAAGTATTTGATAATTGTTGGGGAAAGTGAGATTTAAACAACACATTTAAAAACTTGCCTGAATCAACAGTATAGAAACAAAATCACTGAACTTAAAGTTCACATAAATTCTTTGCTCCAATTGCTCAAACCACCTGCCCAAATCAAACACTATTGTACTGGTGGTGGGGTCACGGGGTTTTCTTCCTTACATATTCAGTAATGTAGTTCAGTTACACACACACACACACACCCCACCACCACCACCACCACCACCCACCAGGAAAAACAGTGTATCGTGAAGCATTATTAGTAGGGCCTAGAATTAAATGAAACGGTGCATATATCTAACCCTAGCTGACTGGACAGGTATTATTCCCCATTTTACAGAAAACAGGCACAGAGAGGCTAAAATTTGTACAAAGTCACTCAAACTGGCCAGTGAGCCTTGCAGCATTTGAATCCAAACAATCGGTCACCATCTTTACAGCTCTAATTTGTGTTGCATTTCCACACAGATCTCTTTGGGGGAACCACAGATTTAAAGCTTTCCAACTATATTGTGGTAAGGGTCTTTGCCCACCCAGTCCTGATCGGGGATCCAGTTTTACACAATACTGTACATCTTTTAGAGCAAGCACTACATGAAAATGCGTAATATCTGAATCGTCATTAAGAAACGTCCGAGAATAAACTCCATCGACAGCAGCATTTTACAGAGCACCACCTAATCAGAACGCAGGAACCCAACCCTTTCCCTGGCAAGGGGCTAGAGTCCCCCTCCCCTTATTTTTATTAAAAGCTCTGCTTTATTTGGAAACTCTTAAAATAAGTGGTCATACGATTAAAAAAAGCCGCGGCGCGCCCCCTCCCCGGCGGCCGGGCGCAGCTGTCCGCGCCTCCCCCGCGCCCCGCCGCCCGCATTCCAACTCTCTGAGGTCACGGCCGCCGCCGCTCCCCGGATCCGCCCGCCCGCCCGCCTGGCCGGCCCACGAGGAGGGACGCCCGTCCCCGGCTGTTCCGCTGCTCCAGCCTCGCGCCCCGCGTGTGCTCGTCAGTCCGTCCGTCGGCCCCTGACCACCCGCGGGTCTCGGTGCGGCGCGCCCGCGGCTCCCCGCTCGGGCCTCAGCCCTCGCCGCTGCGCGCTCTCGCCCGCCGGGGGAATGTGCTGCGCGCCGCGGCCCTGGAGACAGGAAGTGAGGCGTGCGGGCCCGATGAACGCGCCGCGGCGCGGGCAGGCGTGCGGGCGCGGGCGCGGGCGCGGAGGGCGCGCGGCGGGGCCCGGGGAGGCGGGACGCTGAGCGGGGCGCGCGGCCCCGGAGATGCGGGCGCGGGTGCAGGTGAGCGCGCGGGCCCGCGGCGGGAGGGTAGGGTGGGCACCGCGACCCCGGAGTCCCGGAGGATGGGCCGAAGCGTAACAAAGAGGAAAGTCTTCCTCAGGTTAGCTCTGATCCTCTGGAGCGATTTCTAAAAGGGGTCTCGCGTTTCTGAACACCTCGGCGGATGGCTGCGGCTGAATTCTGGGTCAGGGATTTTAAAGTCTCGAGCTTATTTGTGCCTCTTGGAATAAGTAAGTGTGAAATTTGCCTGCTAACTTTGCCGAGAGGGGGCGGGGGGCTAAGAAAGGACTGTTTGGCAACGCCTTGTTTTGTGTCTGGAGTAAAGTGTGTTTACACTGGAAAGAGAATTCTTGGATCTGCAAATTCCGACTTGTGATTTCTGCAGATCCTGATGAGATTGGCCGCTCCTGGCATGCTCGTCCTATTTTCTTTTTTGCTGAGAAAGCCTTATAATAGCGTATGGTGGAAAACGCATTCAGAACACTGCAAGGGACAATCACTATGTGGCTAATAGTTTTTTGTTTTGTTTTATTAAGTTTGGGATATGACAGTAATTTTACTCTTAAGATAGTTGTTTTGTTTCAAGGGCATTTTGTAGTAGGCTGTATTTGCACAAATGTTTCGATCGCGAGAAACAGGTTTGATTTAATGCAACGGGTTGTTATTTTAAAAATGTCACAATACTGTCATAATCCCTTTTAGGGATTCTGTTATGTTAAAACACTACTGGCAAACTATGCGTGGTGAGGATCTTAGTTGCAAGTAAATGCTGCAAGCTTTTGAGTTAAAATATGTTTGAGAATCTTTTGGAAGGGGATGTCATATTGGGAGGAAAAATTAAATGAATTCACAAATATTGTAGACTGCTTTTTGTAAACTTGTAGTAAAAAAAATTTCAGTATGCATCTCTTTTCTGACTGGATAACAGAATTGTGTTGTGAGCAAAAAATCTTCTAGTTTTTTTTTTTTAAAGCTACTTAGGAATTGATTCTTCTGGTAGTTAAATTGAATTCCAGACCCAACTACTTTTCATATTATTGCATATTTATTTTTACACTATAATGAGTCTCCCCCAAAATCTTAATTTTTTTACTCTTAGCTTTAGTAAGAGTAAACATTAATAACTATCATTTGGTAGCAAATACTGCATAGATAAGTAATCATTGATAATCTTGAAATAATGTTATTTCACAGTGGGTTTTACATAAGTAAGCAAAGGGAGGCCATTCTTATGGATAGAGAAAATGTAGCTGATACACACATCTCTTTTTTGAATCACATGGTAACACTTAACGAGAAAGAAAAACATTAGCTGTTCCTTACTCTTGAACATTTGAAATCTCACCAGACAAGTGAAAGTTTTACTTTTGAGTTTGATTAATCAGAGCTTAAAATAATTATACAGTGTACTATCTGTTGCCTTCAAGGCATACTTCTGTCTATGTGAAGAAACTACCATATTTGAACATACTCTAAATCAAATATTTATCATTCCTGTCATTTATGTAATATCTTGTCTCTTCATACCACCTGTCCTGTTTAAAGTTAGAATAATTTGCATATCAAGTCAAAACCCACCACCTTTTCTCATGAAACCTTTCTCATGTTTAGTGTACATGATATGTGTATATAATTTTTCACGCAAACACTGTTGGTTACATTAGGCAGCCTTCTGCTTAAAAGCTTGTTATTTAAGGTTCTTATTTCTTGATTCCCTCCCTACCATTTTGCTCCCATCTATTTACACTCCTAAAACACCAAAGAGCTTGGGAAACTTCTGCAAGTGGAAACCATATCATTTTATAGCCCAGTTATTCCCTTTATCCTATTATGGTTTTACCTAGAGAAGGCACACCAAAAATGCTCTAACAGTCCTTTAGGTAGTTTTAGGGTTTTTTTTTTCCTCCCCCTCTAACTTCCTATCTCCTGTTTTTAACTTTTTGTTTTACTTTTCTGGGAATAACCAGAGCTTAAACACACACACACACACACACACACACACAGAAAACCAACAACGAATCCGTGGTCGGGTCCTTATTAGAGATCCACCTCTGTATGTAATTATAGCATGCCAGTAATCTTCTTAAGGACAGCAACGGCTTAGGATTCGTCTTAGATTTCCCAAGAGGCTCTTTACACTGCCTTCTGCTCAGGGACACCATCCCCATTTGTGGAATGCGGTTCCGAAATGTTGAGTTTGGCAGAGCCCAGGCCGATGGCTAACCCCGTTCCGCCGTCCCGGGCCCTGAGTGCTCACCGCCTCCCGGGCTGAGCCGCCGTCCGGAGAGCGGCAGGAACGCGGGATCGCGCAACGGAGGAGGCCGCTCCTCTCGAGCTCTGCCCGCCAGAGCTGCTGCCTATTCCCAGTTTGTCTCTGTTCAGAAGTTACCATCAACAGGTGTGGTTTAAAACGTTGTAAGTGGAGTATTTTGGGGCCGCTGTGATCAAACGCGGAAGCACGCGGCGGGCTCTGACTCTCCCCGCAGTCCGTGGGGCTCCAGCTGGCCACGCAAAGATTCACACCCCCGCCCCCCGCCAGGGAGCGTAGGGGCTGGTCCTACGCGAACACTTCCGTCCGGAAACGCGGCGGTGGAAACAGAGTTCCGGGATCTCTGAGGATGCGGGTTGGCCGGGCTACGTAGCGACCTCTTCTCCCGGGCGGGGCGCGAGAGTCTGAGCGTTCTTCGCCCACCTGGCTGCTCTAGCTGTTGAACCCTGTCCGCCCCTCACTAATCCAGGATGGTTCTTAAGGCGTCTTCTGCCTCCTTAGGTAAACGTGCCAACCTAGGTGTCTCTACCCAGACTCGTTTCTTACAACTACCCTTGCTTGATTTGTAGGGTCATTCAGTCAATTATCTATCTCACTGGTGATGTTAATATTTGCAAGCCAGAAAATATTTTTATAAATGTGTGTTATCCTCATCTCCTTTGACCCTCACAGCTGCCATATGTGACAGGCAGCTTATTCCTCTCGTTTAAAGCCAGGGTGAATTTGCCCAAGGAGACTGGCCTTGGAGCCTGGCTCTTTTGGAGGCATTTTGCTCTTAACTCAATTAAGATATAAAGAATTCTGACAATCAGAATATTGGGGAGCTCAAGAGTAAGATTTGGAGTTTTGGGAAATTCCAAAGGGTATATCCAAATGGATGACCACTAATGCTAACTACTAAATTTGGGATTATGGTGGGGCTGGCCTTTATCTGATTTAGTCCTGACCATAGCCCCATATCGGAATCACTGTGTAGTAGTGACAGAGTGAGGGGTGGAGTCTGACCCATGGCCCCGCCCTCAGCGGCGGTGAGGATAAACTTCCCCAAGCTTCCTGACACTGTTAGTGCCCTGTTTTTCCAGTAGAGAAGCAATGTGTGTGCCACAGATGCAGCTTCACTGATTTTTATTTTTAAAAGCAAATTACAGAGTAACTATTCCTGTAACCAGCGTTCCTCTTTTCTCAGCGCTGGCCTGGACGTTCCCTTTACTTGGCCTTTGGAGACTCACTTGCTTTTTGATGGCGTCAGCGGCTGCTGGGTGACCAGCTAGAAACTGGAAAGCGATCGTCCCTTCAGGAGAGTCACCGAGGCCATCCCTTCTGTCGTGGTGGGGGTGTTTTTCCTTCTTCGGCCTGCCACTCTCCAAGGGAGAAGATGCCACTGCCATTTGGATTGAAGTTGAAACGCACCCGCCGCTACACTGTGTCCAGCAAGAGCTGTCTGGTTGCACGGATCCAGCTGCTCAATAATGAGTTTGTGGAGTTCACACTGTCTGTGGAGAGCACTGGTCAGGAGAGCCTTGAGGCGGTGGCCCAAAGGCTGGAGCTTCGAGAGGTAAGCTACAACAGAGATCGCAGGCTTTTCTGGCCCAGCTTCACTGAGTATTGCATGTGGTATGTTCTAGGCCACCAAAACTCAAAGTGGGCCCTGGGTTGTCACAGCTGAGCCTGCAAGCCATGCTCTCCTGGAGAAGGAAAAAGACCAGTACACAGAGCTTCTGAGGGCTACCTTGTAAAAGAATTAACAGTGCCTGCGTTTTGAGTGTGATTATGTTGTCCCAAAATGTAATGGAGATCAAATATAAATGCATTGTAGTTTATCCAAGTTCCTGTCTTTTAATAGAATCCCAAATTATCCTGATCTCTAATACAGTTTGACTTCATGCATTTGTTTAGCATTGATTCACTGATTGTTTTCCACAAGCCAAGATTCTAGAGATGTGTTTACTGACTTTAATTTGGGCTAGTTGTGGAACCTTAGGCAGGTTATTCAGCTTCTCTTAGCCCCAGTTTCCCCATCTAACAGTGGCACCTAATTTTCAGAGTGGTTGTGTGACTTAATATGCAGGTAAAACTATAAAGTCTAATAACTAGTGTGTTATCATAAACGTATGAAGTTTTGCCCTGGAGAACCCCTAATCTAGTTAATGGGAAGTTGTGGAGTCCTCACATATCCACCTAATGTCTTCAATGTAAAATATTATGTGAGGTTTGTAAACAGAGGCACTAATTAAACCTGGATCCTACTTGTGCTTGACAGCCTGGCTCTGGGGTTAGAGAAAGAAGGAAAAACTGGTTATTCCACCTCAGTGTCTGTGTGATATTCCCAACTGAAAATCCCACACTAATTTTGTAATTCAAAAAAAGTTGGGAATGCCGATAGTGGTGGTGCACACCTGTAATCCCTGACACTTGGGAAGCTGGGGGAGGAGGAACACTGCATGTTGGAGGCCACCCTGGGCTGAATGATTTCAAGGCCAGTCTGAACTACAAAAAACGGGAAAAAAAAGAAGTTGAGAATAAACTTTGCTCCTGGCAAAATCATTTGATATTCAATAAGAAGACCTCAAGTATCAAGTACAGAAGTACTGTACACTCTGGCAAAGGCAAGTGTGATAGGCCAAGTAGACTGTGCTCTAGGCATAAGGAGGGTCAGCCAAGAGAAAGCTGCCCAGGGCAAAGTGTATCTGAGCTGTGATTTTAAGGATGGGACTTGGTGGTTTTTTTTTTTTTTCCTAGGAGGAAATGGGGCTGAAAAGACTGCCATAACAAAAGAAATAACATGATGCCAGAGACATGAAGGCAGCTGGTCCTGAAGCCCAAAGTGTGGGGAGGACGGGCTGAGAGTAGCAGGTCCATGATGCAGGGTTTTTGTTAAAGGATTTGGATTTGTCCTGGTGATGGGGAAGAGGAGGGGGGTGGGTTAAACAAGGCTACATTGTGATTGTTGTTGCACTGAGTGAGGTCTGTGGAAAATGAGTAGAGCGGAGACTTTCAGGAGCAGAGGTGGCTGCCTGGATTTGGATGGGGCTGGAAAGCGGTGGGTGGGAACTGGAGCACATATTGAGGATACAGGGCTCACTTGTATCAGACTAGGTTTTATGCAGCAGTGCAGGAGGAGTCCAGGTTTATTTGGGTTTTCAGTAGATGGTGGGAGATATAATTGGAGCAGGAAACAAAAAATGAGGAAATAAAAACCAGTGTCAAGGTATCAGTTGGTGCCATTTGGTTGGTGTTGAGCTGACAGGCAGATGTGTCTGCCTGGAGCTCAGGCAAGAGATCAGGTTAAAGGCAAGAGGTTTGGGAATCAGCAGCTTAGGTGAGCTGATAAAAGCCAGGACGGGTGCCGAGGCTGTTCAAAGACGAGAATGACAATGTGGTAGACTCCTCGGGATTGATTAGAAGATTGATTAGAAGATTGATTGATTAGAAGAGGGGAGAGCCGTGGAAGGAAAGTGATGGAGCCCAGGAAGGAGAAAAATAAAAAGTAAACTGGCTGAGTAGACTTCAGTGACTGGATCTTTACTTGCATTTATTCCTTTTTGCTTCCTTCACCTATCTCTCCTTTTATGATTTCTTTCTTTTCTTTTTCCCCTTTAAATTTCCTCCACATGCTTAAGGTGTGCCTATAGCCTCTGGGGAGCCACCTTCGTGAGGAAATATGGTTTATTTTCGTACCTACAATACCAGGCGTGGAATGGACTCCACAAATACAGGTTAAATTGAACTCACAGCATTCATCGCTTTCCTTCTGCTGGTCAGGGGTAGGGAAGTCGCAATCTCCTGTTAGCTGCTAGGGGTCTCGTGGAACAAGCAGCTTCCCTGAACTGAGGCTGTGAGGTGTGTTTTCAACAGAAGAGCAGAATGGTTTGAGGGGGCACAGGTATGTTCCCTAGAAAATGTCTTCCTTGTGGAGAGACTATCCCATTGCTTCCGACATTTAACTGCAGTGGGGGCTTGAAAGTTTGTGTAAGAAATGTTTCCTTTGAAAGCGCTGCAAGCCCTGTTCTGAAGCATGTAAACAGATGCTCAAGTGCCAGACCTAATCTTACCATGTGACCGTTCAGAAATAATCTGAGTGGGGTACCACCTGTTCCTAGTGTGTGTACATATAGCCTTGTGTGATTCATAGCAAGAAATAGCTATTCCTTCTCCAGGCAAACCTATGATTATCATCATAGCATATAGATTTATCTTATAAAGTACTGCCTAAGTATGAACTGGAGAAAAAAAGGTCTTCACTCCTCTAGCTTACTTGAATGCCATTTCCTTCTGTAATGACAGTTATAAAGGCAACACAATAATACCCCTGTAACACTATCGCCAGGGCTCACCTGTATCGGAAGCATTTCATTTCTTAAGCTGGGTGAGTGGGGATATTGTGTGTTTTCCCCTTCATATTTTTTCAGGTTATTTTTTATTTTAAAAAGAAAAACAATGATAGAAATGATTTAAAAATAGGAAATTAACACTAGTGCATATGCTGTATATTGTTATCTTAGAAGTAGTTGTTCAGGTTACAAGATTTAGGCATGAAAATCATGATCAAACAGACAATGAAAGTACAAACTGTTCTTTCTGATGAACTAACAGAGATTAGTAGTATAGTTATCTATCTTGTGTGTGTGTGTGTGTGTATATATATGTATATATATATATATATATATATGTAGTTTTTTTCCTTCTTCCTTTTCTCTTTTCCCTTATCCTAGTTTTTCTTTCCTTTTGAGTACTTTCTCTTTCATTATCACAATATCTAATGTATATTTGGATCTTATTACTCTTCCAATTTTTTTTTACACTAGGGAGACAATACAATATTTAAAAATGTGAGTTTGATTTATTTTATTTATAAGTATGGTCTCAAGTCATCTCCATTTACCTATAAAAGTCTCAAGATTATCTTTTATAGCTGAGTAATACTCCATTGTATAAAAATACCACATCTTTTTTATCCATTCTGTGGTTGATGGGCATTTGGGTTGTTGCCAAGATTTAGCTATTACAAATTGTGCTGCAAAAAATTCAGGTGCACATAATTCCCTGTGGCAGGATGCTTTCAATTTTTGTGGGAAAAAAGGAGTCCCCTTTCATATGTTTACAAATGTCTGAATTTTATAGTAAATTAAGAATTTTCTCTTTCTTTCTTCCTTCCTTCCTTCCTTCCTTCCTTCCTTCCTTCCTTCCTTCCTTCCTTCCCTCCCTCCTTCCTTCCTTTCTTTTGGTTTTTTAAGACAGTGTTTTGCTATGCAGTTCAGGCTGGCCTTGAACTCACCATGTAGCCCAGGGGGCCTTGAACTAAAAAGTGATCCTTCTGCTTCAGCCTCTCAAGTGCTGGGATAATTACCAAGTGCTGGGATTACAGGCATGTACCACCATAGCACCTGGCATTAAGAAATGAAAACTAAAGGATTAGTACACTTATATCCAACTTAGTTCATTTAGATTATTAATGTTATCCAAATTCCCTATATTTGAACTATGGGAAGTGATGGGAAAACATTACTTCCTTAGGAAAATATTGCTATTCATTATAGCAATAGTTTCTTAGAGCTGTTGAAATTCTATGCCTATGACTCATTCCGTGTTTCACATTTTTTTCCCCCAAGAGGCTATGAGAGTCTTTATGGTATTTAAGAGGAATTAGTCCCCTGCTCATTTTGGAGGTGTGGGTTATAGGGCTTTGAAGGAGGTAGCGGGACAGGGTATCAGCTGGGCTAAAGCACTCCCAAGACACCAGCTTAGTGATTTTCAATTTTTTTGTTAGTATTTTTATTGGCACCTAATGATTACACTCAGAGTGGGGAGTTGGTGCATGTGTGGCAATTCTTTTTGCATCCTTTTCTGCTTTCCATCCTCTCACAAGTTTAGGGATTCTCTATGGCTATATGGTGTTGCCAGGGACCCCACGTTATGTGTGTTCCCGGAGCTAAGCTGTGATCTCCCTGGAAGGGAGGAGGTCACATAGAGCCAGTGCCAGCCAGAAGTTCCTTGGTGAGCATGGAATCAGAAGAGAGGCCACCTTGAAAAGTTAGGTGTTTTTGTAAGGGAAATAGTGCCACCTCCAAGAACAGCCTTTGAGTTGGGGAAAGCCCTATTCAGGGGCCCTGGCCTCTGCCACTGGAGAGGGCTATTTGCCAAAGTGATCAGGGCAATCTCTGGGAGGGTCAGAAATGCTGTGGTCATGAGGACTAAACTTATATTAAGACATTGAGCGGAACTCCTGTGTTATTCAGGAAACTCTGAGTGAGTGTTAGTCTTCATTACTGTTATTACTGGGGACTCTGGGGTCCATGTTGTGGAGAGTGATCAAACTCTCTTCAGATGAGTTCTTTGGTAAATATTACTGTTTCTTCCATTTACTGAGAATGAATGCTTGTTTTAAAATGTTTCTGTAGTGGGCACTGGTAATCACACTTTGCACACATTACAGAATTGTTACAGTGTTAGTATACTACAATGCTTTAGTTGTCTTTTTTATTATTTTGGTTTTTGAGATAGGGTCCTGTTATGTAGCCAGGCTGGCCTTGAACTTGAAGTGATCTTTCTGCTTCAACCTCCTGAGAGCTGGGATTACAGCTGTGTGTCAACATGCCTGGCTAGATGTCATATTTAAGCAACTTTTCCCCTGCCAATTAATTATACAGAATTAATTTGTACAGTGTTACTATACATTTCCCTCAAAAACAGAACTGCAGTGGGATTTAAGTTGCTCTTTTGCCTATTTTCTTTCCTTTTAATGTTGAACCCAAATTCTAGGATTAAAAAAAGGTTTTATGAAAATTTTTGGATAAGGTTTACTTATTCTTCTTTAGGATCTGCCTCTTTCAAGGATCCTGATTCAATAATAGATATTTAAACACATTTTTAACATGGCATTATGGATATTAACTATGCAGACTCTTACTTCTTGAATCCTCTGCCTTCCTTATTGGCCAGGCTGTCCTTGAAGTTGTGATTCCTTTGCCTCAGCGTCCCAAGTAGGTAAGGTATAGTCATATGCCACCACATGCCTGTAATGGACATCTTTCTTGGTTTTAAGGTCTTTATTTAGCTTGAATTTATATTTGTTTAGAGTTTTGAAACGTGGTTTAACCCTCAGAATGTAGGGAAGTTCTGAAATATAGAAGTCTTATAGATCTTTTTTTTTATAATTTAAATCATGGAGGACAGTTTTCTTTTAAGTGGTTTTTTTTTGTTGTTGTTCTGGGGATCGAACTTTCGATTTCCTGCTTGCCAGGCAGGTGCTTATGCCACTGAGCTAAATCCCCGGCCCCTCTTTTAGCTGTTTTTGAGGGGTGCATATGTGATAGGAGTATCTTCATTCTTGTTTCCATAATGTGGCTTATATAATACTTTTTAAAAAATCGGTACTGGGGATTGAACTTACAACCACACACTTGCAAGGCAGGTGCTTATCCCACTAAGCTGAATCCCCAGCCCCCATAATAATAATTTTGAAATCGAGTTAAATACTGAACTACCCCCAAAATTACCTTCAAATTATTTTGTCAAAGAAGGTAGAACATCTAGCACAATTCATAAGCTCTTTCTGTCACCTCTTAAGTTTTAATGAGCTCTGAATATTTCATTGCCCTTTTGTGATTTATCACAGATCTTCATGAAATGTTTTTAAAATTGTATTTGCAGTGCAGCATATACATGCCAGGTTTTTGTTCTTTAGCATCTCAGCTTCCCTGGAGTAGGACTGTTGTTCCCTGGCATATCACTGGGTTGCGGAATAGTGTGCGGTACTACAAAGTGCTGAATAAATGTTTAAAACTCAAGATTCTTGTTTTGCATTTAGATTGATGAGCATGGACAGCAGATCAGTTTGATCAGCCTTTATTTGCCCTGTGATTTTCTGCCTGAAGAAAATTGAATGTTTTCAAAGTTCTGTCTGTGGGTCTAAAGGACCTTTCTTTAGACCATACTTTTCCCCTGTAGGGCTTCTTCTGAAACACACAGGAAGTGATCTAGTGTCAGTAGCTTCTGTGTGTAAAGACTGCTTGTCAAGGTCGAGTCTGTGTCCCCACTGTACTTTGAACAGATTCTTCTCGTAGCACCTTCTGGATGATGGGGGCAATTTTTGGCCAGGGGATCTTGTGGAACAGAGAGAAATCCAACGCATAATGCAAACCATTACTCTCAAGCACAGCTTTAGAAAGTGTTCTTGGCAGTCTGAAGAGTTTTATTTTAAATTAGTATCTTAGGCATTCCAAATATCCACTGACCTTATCTTGACTGTTATCTGAGTAGACTTCAGGAATTTCATGTGCATTTCCTTCTGTACTAGCTGTTTTCATTGGAACTCTAAAAATAGCTGAAATATGTATAAGGGAAAAGTATATTACTTACAGTCAGACTGAGAACTTAGGTATACATGTTTTGAAGTTGGGAAGATTGATTTATAGACAAGGATCATTAAGTATTTTCAGTTAGTTATTGGATCATCGAGCACAAATAAAATGTTAGATTGGCCTCTTCATCTAAGTAATGTTTTCCAAAGTCTAAAACCAATTATAAATGACCAAAGGTTTTTTTTTTGATTCTTAGGGTTTTTGTTTTGTTTTGTTTTTGTTATTTATCTCATTTGGATAATTTGGGGGAATTATTCCTAGCCCTTTAAATTTTTTATTTTGACACAGGGTTTTCCTGAGTTGCCTAGCTTGGCTTTGAACTTGTGTTCCTCCTGCCTCAGCCCTCTGACGTATGCCCTTCAAGATCTTCTTTTTTTCTTTTGTTTTGTTTTTTTGAGACAGGGTCTCGCTATGCAGTTCAAACTGGCCTTGAGCTCACTTTATAGTCCAGACTGGTCTCTAACTTGCAAGGATCCTCCTGCCTTGCTCACAGGGTGCTAGGATTACTGGAGTGCTCCACCACACCCAGCTTGAAATCTTCATTTTTAAAAAGTTGACACTTTATATTTGTACATATTTATGGGATGTAGTACAAATTAGACAAATAAGTAAAGGAATTACATGTAGGAACATGGAGATCTCATGCTTTTAAAAATACATGTAATAATACCAGTTATTGTGGAATTTGGAAATCTGTTTTACTTAAAGCAATAGTATTATGCAGCCTTAGTTTAATGTCTAATAAGTTTAAGGATTAAGAATCTGAGACATTTGTCTTTCAGTGTTGGATTTTTCACTTAGGAGTCAATGGAAGTGCCTTTTAATCTCTTATTGTACAATCATAGGGGCATTTTATAACCACATGAAATTAAGCAAGAATTCGCTCAGCTGGGGAGGATCGTCAGTTGAGTTCCAAAGATGTTTTAGGGGCTCTCCCTCTGTTCTGTCATTGTCCTTGGTTGTAGTTTCAGATTCCATTCCTTGGAGTAACTCTCGAAGCTGCGATGGCATTCTGCTTCTCCTCCATTTGGCGAATGAGCAGGATTGTGCTGGAAGCTTAACTTGTCTTATCTCATTTATTGTTCACTATGAGTCATGCATTACCTTTTCCATTTTAAAATGAGCAAATTGAAATTATGAAAAGTTTAGGTGGTTTGCTGAGGATCACACAGGTAATAAGCAAAGAGTCAAATAAGTTTTTATGAAACTTTCAGATTTCTGTTTAATCTTTAACCTTTAAATTTGTGGGGGCTGTAGATCCTTTTGGAAATACGGTAAAAACAGATTTACATTTACATGTATTTTTAAAAGCATGAGATCTCCATGTTGGGAAGATTGAAGGTGGCTCACTGACACCCTCCTAGTCCCTGCCTGAGCCTTCCTGGATGGAGCAGATTTTTTCTTCTCTCTACGTAATGGAATCTTTCTTCCTTGGTGTCTGTCCCCTAGTGAAGATATTGGGAAGTTGGAATACTTACGAATAATTCAAGACGTCTTTTCTTTCTACTTTTTGTTTTGTTTTTCAGTTCTGAGGGTTGAATCCAGGGGCACTTTACCAGTGAGTTACTCCCCACACCTGGTTCTTTTTTTTGATACAGGGTCTGGCTGAGTTGCTGAGCCTGGCTTTGAACTTGTGATCCTCTTGCCTCAGCTTTCTGAGTAGCTGGGATTACAGATGTATGCCCCTCAAGATCTTTTTTTTTTTTTTTTTGATGCCAGAGTTCCACAGAACATGTTTTTCTTTATTTTTAGAGTAAAATAACAAACTCTTGGCAAGTTGTTTAGAAAAAATATTCCTAAAACTGCTGGACTCTTAAAACACCACGTTGTCAGTCCATCCAGGAAAGGTGGTGGAGGCAGGCGCGGGGCTCACAGCCGGGGCCCGCGCTGGCGGCCGGGGTTCTGGGTGTCAGTCTGGACTGCTTGTCTTGTTGCTGCTGGTGCACCGCCTTCTCCAGCACCCACTCTTGGCTCTCCGTGCACGACCCGGTGTCGGGACCGGGCTGCAATGACCGGCCCGCAGCCGGAGGGGTGACCCCTTCATCCCTGGGCAGGGTGACCTTCCTTCTGCGGTGAGAGTGTGCGGGTGGCCCTTCTTTCCATTGTTTCACCTTCCCTTCTACAGGGTCCTCCCCTTCCCGTGAGGTGCTCTGGGGCCGGGTGCCTGTGTGGCAGGAGGGCAGGGTGTGCAGCCGCCCACCTGTGTGCGGCATCCTTCTGTGGCAGAGCCCCCTCGGGAGCAGCCTAGGCCCGGTGCAGGGCCCCAGGGAGGCCTGGTCCAGCTTGGGGCTCCGCGCCCCTGCTACAGCCCTGTTCCAGCCACCACACGTGCAGGAAAACAAGGCTGCCCACTCGAGGCAGTGCTGACGATGCTCCTCCTCCGGGGCTGATCTCGGCCTCCAGCCCTGGCTGAGGGGCAAGGGGATCCCCCAGCAGCCCGAAGATCATTTTTTTCAATTGACATATATTGGCACAGATTTATGGTGTATAATATGATAATTCAATATATAATGGGTAATGATCAAATCAGGGCATTGAATATTTCTTTTTTCCCAAACATGAATCATTTCTCAGTGTTGGGAACTGTTGGGCTCTGTTTTAGTTATTTTGAAACATATCATGGATTGCTGTAGATTACACTGATCTACCAGACTATAGAGCTTGTTCCTTCTGACTATATTTCAGCACCCTTTATTTAGCCTCTGTCCATCTGCAGTCCTCCACAGCCTACCAAGAAGACCTCCATATTTTTAATAAAATACTTTAATAAGAAATTTAATAAAATAATTTGCATAATAATATACTTTAATGAAATAAATTAATAAAATAATTTGCATGATAAAATAATAAAATAATTTAATAAAAGAATATAATTGTTCCTTCTCTCATAAATGTGTTTTCCTCAAAGAGTTTCATCTTTAGGTCTGAAGAAAGGCCATTAGGGTATTTATTTCATTGATAGGGCAACTTGCTACTAAGGTAAAAGCTCCTTTCAGGTAAGGAGGAAGGAGAGGGTTCCAGCGGGAGTCCCTTCACTGTGCTGCTAGTTGTAGGTCAGTGTTTATCTTCGCCACCTAGCAGCACCTTTGTGCCTGTCTTCACAGTAGGTGTGTGACAGATTTGCAGAGAAGCAGATGACTCATATTTATGTAGTAATCAGATTCCAGAGCCATTTGCTGTGCCCTGTGTCTCATTTCATCCTGTCCAATATATGATTTACCCAAACATGACATTTTCTTGTCTATTTACAGTAGGGCTCACTCATCATTTTTTGAACAGTATGCTGGGTTAGCAAATATTTTCCAGTTTGGTTCTCCAGGCAGTTTGTTCGTAAGCAAATGTGGCTCAGATTTCCTTTATCTTTTAATGAACTGATAAGATACTTAGAGGCAACTTTAACTTTTACTGAAGGTGCTAATTTTACTAACAGAAACCCTGCATGTTGGAAATCCTACATAAAAATTAGCAAGTGGTAGAAATAACTTATTTATTGAGGGGTTTCTCTTGATTAACCAAATGAGATTCCCCAGAGGTGTATGGCATTTAGATTTATGAATATTATTTGAAGATTTATTGTGTGAATAAGTTTCCCAGATGTTTACAGCCTTTGCTTATATTATTTCTCCTTCACAATGGACAATCCTCCATTTTATTGATAGGTAAACTGAGGCACAAGTGTGAAGTAATTTGCTCTTGGTTATATACCACAGACCACAACTAGAATAGCTCTGGATCCTTGAACTCCTTGGTCAGCACCTTTTTTTCCCACCCTGTACCCTTGGGCATGTGGTAGGTGTCTTGCCGTGCAGCCCACCCCTTCACGACAGCCTGGCACATGCAGCCTCCTGGATTCAGGGGAAGTTGTTTTAAGTACATTTCAAATGTTTATTACCATTAATCTCATCATTCCTACCATGTATTTTTCTGTTTAAAATGTTTTTGAAATCGCTGAAGCAAAGAAAAGTAGGCATGAGAAGGAACATGAGTCATCAGGAGCAGCAGGTCAGTGCTGGGCAGTCCTGGGGTGCTCAGGACAGAGCTTTTGGTAGGAAGCCTTTGTGAGCTTGTCCCGGCAGGCGGAAGAAGCAGGCTGATGAAATGCACCCAGGAGAGTTCCCTGCAGGGAGACTTTCCAAAGCATTTCATGTCGTGCTACTGTTGGGTGAACATGGGGGTGTTGTAGGATCAGAATCTACACCCGAGCGACCGCAAGCGGTAGAACCAGTGAGTGCACTGAAGTGTGTGCTGCTTCTGTCTGTGAGCAGAATTATGGTGATTTATTAGGGGACGCACAGGTGCATTTACACCTGTTACAGCAGCTCGTGCCAGTGAAGTGTTTCCATTGTACCATCTGTGAATTACAGGCTTGGGCACGGCTGGCTTTCAATTCACTTTGTAGCCCAGGCTGGCCTCAGACCTGCAGCCATCCTCCTGTGTCAGCCTCCAGAGTGCTGGTGCTATAGGTGTGCACCACCACACCCGGCTCAAGTAAATTGTTATTTCAGTCCCGTTCTTCTCTTGGTCATGATCCTATTGCTTACCATTTTTGGTCTGATTTTTCAATAAGACTTTTTTTTGAGTAATGAATTTTTTTTATGTGTGTTTATTTTTCGAGATAGGGTCTCACTATATAATTTAGGCTGGCCTTGAACTCCCTCAGTAGCCCATTCTGGCCTCAGACTCGTGACGACCCTTTTGCCTCAGCTTCCTGCGCAAGTAGAGATTTAATAACAGAAATACAGGTTTTTTAAAAAAATATTTATCTGTTAAGAATCTTAATGAAAGTAATTTTCTTGATTTTTGTATAACCCTCACATCTTTCACAGTAATATGAATTTAAGCAAAATGCAGCTGCCGTCTTTTTTTAAAGCAATGGAAAACGTTAGATAATACTCTTTTTTTTTTTTTTTTTGGTATCAGGGGTCAAACTCATGACCTTGTACTTGCTGAGAAGATGTTTATGCCACTAAGCTAAGTCCCCAACCCATGGATAATAATTCTTTCAAGCAATAGAAATTAACCTTGACTAAATTCTTTGTTAAAATGTATTAATGGTCACATTTATTTGGATCCCTCAAATCCTCTAACACTTTTTACCTACTATTCTTCCCCAAAATCCAGCATATCCATGTAACTTAAAACAACTATAATTTTAATCTGACAAAAGTGACTATCAGGAAAATAAGCAATTATTCTTAAAAATAATCATTTTAGTTCTTTTCATTTCTGTACTGTGAAAGTTGCAATTTCTGTGAATACTCATGCTATTCACTGTCTTTGAGATAATAGAGAAGGAATAACTAAGACTGGAGTTAAATAAGACATTAAGCATATTTTTCCTGGCTGGGAATTTCGCTCAGCAGCAAAAGTGCCTGCATGGCAAGCGCAAGGTTGTGAGTTCGATCCCCAGTACCAAAAAAAGAAAGGAATATTTTTCCTATAACTTAACTGCCATATAAACACTAGAATATGGACTGAAGTTGTCTCACTTCTTGCGCACCCTCTCTCTCTGTTCCTTGTGCTAGGACTGAACCCAGGGCCTCACCCATTTTAAGAAAGGTACACCTTGTCTCACTTTTCACTGTTTTCTCAATAAAAAGAGAACAGTTGTGACTTATCCAGTGTCCTAAAACATAAACATTTGTGAATTAAGCTAACAAGCTAAGCCAAAGAGGCCCAAATTATGAAACACGGTTAGAAAATCTAATTCACTTATTGGAATAAGAAATGTTCCTGTAATAGAACAAGTGTGTAACTAAAACGATTAAAGAAATGAGATGCTCAGGTTTATACCTTGTTTATGGGTCCTAAACAAAATGATCTTTCATACAATGATACACAGATCAACACATTTGCCTTTGCCTGTATTGAAATTGTGTAGCAACATCTCAGTGACTTCTGCCATCCTTGGGAGAGTTATGGTTGATACATTGTGTCAACTTGAGAAGTCTAGAAGCTTAACTAAGTAACTCAATAGCCTACATCCTGGGGTGTAGAGGACAAGCCCTTACTGCTCCAGGATGTTGCTTATTGTGTCAATTTGAGGTCAGAAGTTTAAATGATTCAGCAGGGGCCCAGGGTCTTCCTTTGTGAAAGTCTTTAACCAGTGCAAAAGGAGGGCAGGAGATGGTGTGAGTGCTACAGCCACCCAAGGGGAGGAGCCTGCGTACAGTGTAAGTGAGGACAAGAGGCTTGCTCTTCCTCACTTTGCTCTTGGTGCTTTGCTGCTTTCTGCTGCCTTGAAGTGTTGCCCCTGTGCCATGTCACCCTGCCTTGGAGCCAGCTAATTACAGACTGAAACCTCTACAAGCTGCGAGCTAAATAAACCTTTCCTTTCTTAATTTTGGGTGTCAGATATTTTATCCCAACAACAACAGAAAAGTAACCAAGACAGGGAGTAAACTGTGTATATATATATATATATATATATATATATATATATATATATTCCATATATTAGATATGTTAATTATACATATATTAAACATAAGTACATATTAGATATATTTAAATATATTGGTATTTTTACATATTGAGTATTTAATATATATTTAATATATGTATTAAATAAATGTTAAAATTCCCATGTAATCCTACTTTATTCTTTAAACATATGTGATGATACTTTAAATTTTTTTTTTTTTTTTTTTTTAGCCAGGGTTTTGCTATGCAGTTTGGGCCGGCCTTGAGCTCACCAGGCAGGTCTTGGAGTTACAACAATCCTCCTTGTGTCAGCCTCCTGAGTGCTGGGATTACAGGCATGTACCACCACTCATGGCTATAGGTTAAATCTTATGATTAAATATATTTCGCTGTAGCATTTCTTGGTATCTGGCACACCCTGTATTTTGGATCTCTTTCTTCCCCCACAGGAATGTAAACTATGTGAGAGCAAGAATTTTGTTCTGTTATTCAGTGCTGCATCACTAGTACCCAGAATAAGGGTTGACACATAGTAGGTGTTCAGTCAATACTGAATGATGAGGTGAATAAGACAGTGTACTTTCAGTAGAAGGCGATATAGAGTAGATTAATAAATACATATATCCATCATTGGTGCTGAGAATAAAAAGCAGAGCCTTGCACATGATAGGAAATGCTCTTCTACTGAGGAAAGTAACCAAGTCCAGTCCAATAATAATATATTATTTTAGGCTTTTTTTTTAAAGACAGGCTTTTTTTTTTAGCCAGGGTCTTGCTATGTAGTTCAGGCTGGTCTTGCTGTTGCTGTCTAGTCCAGGCTGGCCTCAGACTTACGGAGGTTCTCTTGTCTTAGCCTCCTGAGTGCTAGAATTACAGGCGTGCACCAAGTCTAGGTCAGAAGAATATTTTTTTTAAAAAACTAACTTACTGTGTCTCAGTCATTATGTCCTTTATATCATCTGGTTGTCTAGAATTGTAAATAGAAATATATATAAGCAGTTCATTTTTTTTGTACATAATGCT